AAGTCGCGGGCAGAAGCTAGTTACGTATATATGTAATTATTTTCAATTAAAGATTTTTTAGCTTGTAGTTCGAAAGTTATTTCGACCTAATGAGGAGACAAAGGGCTTTTTGAAGCAGAATCAAAAAAATAATGATTATTTTAAGATTAATCTATACGTTCATTATTAAGCGGAGCTCAGGTTCATAACAGTTTTAATAGTAACTAGCGACCCGCCCCGGCTTCGCACGGGTGCAATATGCATGTATTATACATACAAACCTTCCTTAAGAATCACTCTATCTATTAAAAAAACCGTATCAAAATCCGTTGCGTAGTTTTAAAGATCTAAGCATACATACGGACATACAGCGAAAGCGACTTTGTTTTATACTATGTATTGATTATAATAAACAAGAGAAGAGTGAATAAGTATGTATATCACAACGCAAGATTGAAGACCACGTTTTTTCGGCATATGTGTCCGCTCAAACCTTGTTGGCCATGGCGGTTGGTTCCTGGTCGCTTAACTTTATCGCAGATTCTGTTATTAGAGGGTCTACAATGATAGTGGAAAAAAGCAATACTTGTGCCATAGGGCCCATAGAATGTAAGAATGTGATTGTATTGACTTTGAGTAGTCTCTGGACTGACACCACTCGATTTTATAGTTCAAAATAAAGTTGTCGATGTTTAGCATAGTCTTTATTTTTCATCCGAAATTAGGCCAACCAGTAGTTTTTTTTTCTTTAAGATTTGATACACTCGCGTTTGACCGTTTTCTCACCAGATGGTAAGCGAGAATGTGGTTTACGGTCAGTGATGCGCGTTCGTTCAGAAGAGATAAGTGTCAAATGAATTATCCGAAGCCAAGACAATTAAACAGGACCTACACCACCGGGTAAGTGTCTATATCGGAGACGCAACGTGCTCAGTTATTAAATGAGTGACTTGTACAGTTAGGTACAGGTACATAGGTAATTTCGAAGAGAATTTCCGATAGACTTTGTTCCTATTTTCCTCTTCTCTAAATTATCTTTCGTTGAAGTTCGTTGTTAATTATTTCACTTATGTAGTGAAAAGTTTTTAAATATTACCTGCTTAAAAAGACCATAAAACATACAATAAAAGTAAAAACAAACAGCATAAAAAGAAAATTAGAAAATTCAGCGATAAGGTTACGTATATAATACAAAATTAATTCTGTTTTATTGATTTTTGGTCCCTTAACTCAATTTTAAATTAAAATAAAAGTTATGAAAACTAAACCTCACTTCTATTTATAATGACAGTACTTGCATTCCTGTAGTGATTGCATAACATTAATTTAGTAACAAGTAGGTATGTAAGTAGGAGTACCGAATTAAAGTTTGCGCGAAAATGTAGGTAGGTAATCGCCGCAAGCGCCGAACAAGCGTCAGCTTTGCGTCGGCGCCGGGTGTAACACCCTGGCGTTGAGACTTTAGTATCAAGATCAATATGAATGCGCCTTTCATGTTACATGTGAAATAATGTGTAGAGTTCTACACCGAGGATCGTTTCAATTTTATTGAACCTCCAGGCGTCAGTAAGGAATAATAATACCAATATTGCACAGTCACAAAATCGAATATAGATTTAATGCCGTATTTACAGTTTATTCCCAATTCCAAACAGCCAATTCAATTTTAAATTCGCTAGGCCAAATTCGCTGTATTTTCCGCAGAACATATTTCTTTCTTCGAACTCTGTACACACAAGAGAATGAAGAAAGAAATTAGGTAAAAATAAATGGGAATCTGAAATAAAATTTGCGTAGCGTATGCATAATATTGCTGGATAATAAGTGAGTAAAAAATAATACTGAAAAATAACACACGCTAGCCAAATTGTCACACCAGAAGGTATGTGTATGCACTTACCTCGTATTTGATGCCGGCCAAACGAAGCCATGTTTCAACTTTCAAGCAGTATGGTGAAGTTGAAGGCAACAAAGGAGTTCGTGAAAACTGATACAAGTAGACGATATCCTTTTCAAAGTTAGCTTTGTGGACCGTGATCTTGGGCGGGGCAGGTTCCACTTTCTTCTCCTCTGTCTTTTCTTCTACTTTTTCAGCCGGCGGTTCTTCTTTAGTTTGTCCATTGTCTACCGGCGCGTCCTCTTTTGCCTCCTTTTCTTTCTCTGTGTTCTCAGGCACGTTATTTATTACTTCTGTGGCCATTTTTTAAGTCAAAATGCGTATAAACCAGTCTCTAATTAGTTATTGCACGCACTTTAATTTACACAAAGAGCCACGCTAAAGAATTTATAATTTTAATTCACTGCAACTAAAGAGCAAAATGCGCGTAGCCCACCGTCTGTGTTGTCAGGTCGACTGGGCGCGGGCGCGGGGACGGCCGGGGGGCTGCGGTACGGGCGCGGGCGGGTGAACGCTAGGGCTGCTGTGCAGCACAGCTTGGGCTGGGCCGCCTTTTTTGCGGTGATAATGTTGCCAGTATGAAATTAAATTTCTCCCGTAATATTTTCCCCATATAACAAGAGGTATCGTGCCGATATTACAAATGCACGTATGTGTGTGTTTTTTTAATTCGGTACGTGAAGTAAAAGTCATTCAATGCCAATTCGAAAACAATTTCGAAATTTTATGTTGCCAAATCATAGGTATTTTAATCATTTTGTCAATTTAAAACCAATCGCGATGAGACAAAGAACGGATTAGACCTAAGCACGGATCTTGGTATATACCAACCCTAAGGGGATAAAAGTTTGTATACATATTCTTACATTTTGAGAAAATCCATCGAAAATCCCACGAAAACGGGAACTAAGCGTGAAAGCTCAGTGACGCTCCATCTTTTAAACTGTCAAACACCACGAGGACACCGGTGTCCGCACACCTATTGTTCTTTGATTGTGTCTATAATGACGGTACTCAAACGGTACCACTAAACCTAATTGAGTGTACAGAAGTGTAATTCTTAAGATAGTAAAGAATTTTGAATTTTGAATTTTTTTGAGAAGTACAACAATAGTGTAGACCTGAGAAACGACATATCTATGATAGTTTTTACCCCCAGGATCAGAACTATACTTTTATTATTCTTTATTTTTTGAAACCACATAAATAATTCATTTCACAATAAATATAACTCGGGTACTGAATCTATTCTGATGAAATTTGTTACAGCCGTGACATTGATTATTCTACGCGTACGAGTCGCAGGCAGCAGCTAGTCACACTAATATTATAAATGAGAACGTTTGTTGTTTGAATGTTTGTCTGTCAATCACGTTGAAACTACTGAACGGATTTTGATGAAATTTGGTATACAAGCAGGGTATATGAGCTCACTTAATGTGATAACACACTTTTATCTCGATTAAATGCTCCCATGGGATAAAACAGGAATACGTGAGCAAAGCCGCGGGTAAAAGCTACTTTATTCCAATTTAACATTAATTTCCGATCAGCGAAATAATAATAACTAGCTGTTCGCCGCGACTTCGTTCGCGTATAATAATGACTTCTGGCAAATTTTGGATTTTTTTATTAGTCTTCTCCAAGGTTAATTGCAATGCTGTGTAACCAAATCTCATCAGAATCAATTTAGTTATATTGTGAAGTGTTGTCTTAAACTCTCGTTGAACCGAATTTCAATCAAATAGGTTCAATAGTTAATAAAATTAATATTAAGCCGCTTTACATACCCGAATGTTGTATCATGATAATAAAAAAAATAATTATCAATAATCCATTGGCAAGAAATTCACTTGTCGAAATATGTGAGATAACATAGAAAGGTAGACTTAATATTATAAATTTGTTAGAAATTGACGTGATTTTTTTACTGAGTTGAAATAGTAAAAAGGATTGAAAGTAGCATAGGTGACATTTTATTTCCTTTTAATCGACCACTTCCCTAAAACAGGAGCTAGAAGTTTGTATCGAGAATTTCGTCATTTTCGAGAATCCTAAAATTAATATCATATTTGTCACCAGGAAACATCAGGTACCAATTCTTTTTTATCTTTTGTAAACCTGTCCTCAATACTTTTAAAGGGCGCGAGCGAAACCGTGGGTAGAAGCTAGTCCATGAATAAAATGTATTCAGTTAATTGAATTCGTATTTTGTCTTTAAAATCTCTGATTCTGATGCACCTAAATACGTATTAGTCCTTGAAAACAGCTTTCTATTGGCAGTCAAAAGCTTAAGCAATATAAGGAGATTTTTGGTAGTATTTTCACACTTCGGGTTACATTATCTAAATTTTCACACGGTTATCTTTTTTTGTTTTATTAAATATAGCCTATGTTCAGCATCCATAATGTAGGATTCCAGCGGTAAAAGATTTTTTCAAATCGGCCCGGTAGTTTCGGAGGAGATTTCAATCAAACAAACAAAAAATTTTCTAATAATTTGAAATTATATACATTTTGCATTAGTAAATTTGAAAACGGTGTTAAAAACGGATTTAACAATATATTGAACTGCGTTCCGTTCTAAAAATTCACTAGTATAATTGGATGAAAAGGAACAGGCTTCCAGTATGCTTAATTGACGTCATACTATACAGTCAGTGGTCGCAGTGTATATAGTATATCGGAACTATATATATACATAATTTTCCCTCAAAATGGGTAATGCAATATTATCTGGTACCATTATTTACAATATGCGACACTAGCGCCACATACTTTGACAGATATTTAAAATTATGTGCAACTCATCGCATTGCAAAGCTTTAGCTCAAACTATTTTATGTAAACCAATTACTAATTGAATTATTACTGTTCAAGCCGATATTCTTTCCAATTCTTATATTTTGCAATTTCTATTTTGTGATATTCTTCCGCTGATTGCAAACTTATTAAAAGTAATACTTGCAGTAAATTGAACCAATTCGAATTTCGCGGGCTTTTTACAGACATAATAATTATGTATAATAGAGATTGATCCACAATTTCACGCAAGTTTAATTACGGTTACAGAACTTTTATGATAAAAAGTTACTTATGAACGAAATAAAAAAGAATATGATTTAAAATATTTATTTGTTCAATACATAGTATAAATACTACATAAAAAACTTATATAAAATTATGCAAAGTTACGCTTAAATCTGTTCGCAGCAAACAACCCAATTCCTAAATGATATGTATAATATCTGCATTATACATATTTATTATAAAATTGTCATACTTTTCTTCACTATTTATTTTGATCATTACAACTTTATATTAAGGCTTATTTATTTATTTACTAGATTTCTAATTTTAAAGCGAGGTTGCGCATTTCATAACTTTACAATTACATCTATCTTTCCCCGACGATCTATAGAGAAGTTACTAAACTTATTCCTAAGTCGCCTGAGGTATCTCACTATTGAAAAATTTGTAATGGCAAGGTATTATAATAATACTTTGCACGAATTGGCAATCATTTCAATTCCTAGTGTGAAAACAATATTCACGTTTTTAATTTATCTTAAAAAATAGCTAAGTGATGATCTAAGACAGAAGACTACAGCATCAATTACAACACTCTATCGCTATTACATATTAAATCTACTGAAATATTATTGCATTTAACCTGTACTTGGTACCATACCTAAGTTTAGTTACCATTTTAAATATCATTAAGAAATTGGGTTGCAAATATCACAATTTTAATGCCTTTATTTTCGGTTATTACATCAAAAATTATCGGCTGTGCAACATTTTTCTTACCTTTATGTTTTTTCAGTATACAAGCGAAAATAGGTGATAGAAAAATTAAGTGAGAGACGATAAATGTGCTTAATTTGAAAATAAAAATAATAAGTCATACATTATCAAATATTCAAATAATCAATTTACTGGTTAGTTACACAAACTAACAAATATTATCATACCAAGTAATTGAAACAAAATATACATTTGGTAAATAATAAAATAACATTTGGTTACTTCTGTATCAATTAAATCTTATTAATTATATCCGATTTGGCTTAATAATTGATGAAATCAACTCCTACACTGAGGGTTCGTTATTAGTATTAGCTCCATGTTGTTGGCAAAAATACTACCATATATGCAACAGAATAATTTGTTCTGGTGAAAATAAAAATTGAACTAAAGGAACAAATATAACTTACTCTTGGATAACCGTCAAACATCTATAAGCGTCACAAACTCACAACATATAATATGCTATAATCGCAAGAAATGTGTATTAAATCGATAATCTTGCTGGCTTCACGCACAACTTAGTTTGATAGAGAAATAAACGGACGGACAATGCTGTGATCATTAGAGTTCTATTATTTGTTTTTAGATATAGAACTTCAAAAATAGAGATTGGCTTGCCATGTTGTTTAAAACTTAAGTATATTATACATAAAGCTTATACCAAAAAATTTAATGTGGACACATAAGCTTATCGATATCATTTCTTGTGATCGATTACTTTTAATTCGTATCGAGCTCTATATCTAAATTCAACAAACTTTGATCAGTATCCTAATATAGCTATCTACTCAGCACTAGCGAAACAACATTTATTCTTATAACTCGTATAACTAATTTATACTTCTACATTACTAAATTTTTAGTATTTTTTAGAATTTCTTTGTTTGTATTTTAAAGGGCATTACAGTAAATTGTTCCTGTGATTTTTGGTGCACAATTACAACATCAGTTGACAAAGTCTACTTATACTATCGTCGACTACTAGTGTCGACAATAAACTCTAGTCATCCACATTTATGCCTAATCTATTACATATCGAAACTACCATTACTACTTAATCTCATTCTTTACCACCAGGTAATTTTCATTTGCGTTCTTACACACGTTAATTTTAAGCAAACATACCAGAATCATTATGTCAAAATATACGACAACACAGATACACACCACAATAAAAGACATAAGCGTTTGTATTTCTTCAGACTTATTCAAACTAATTAGATATGATGGTGATGGTAAATTGGTAATTATTCTAAAAATAACGGATATCTCTTTTGATAAACTGAAATCGATGATCTTCGATGTAACAATATCTATTGTAGTAATCTTAATGTAGTTGGTGTCTTATTCATTAATGTGATTATGTTGATTGCACTGAACCGCAGTGTTCATATTTCTTGTATCGCTATCTAATATAACGATGTATTTGTATACAAATATTCCCCTAACATTCTAAATTGCTTATGTCAAGAATACATTATGTACCAGATTTTGTCCATATGACGTTCGATCGTTAGTTCACTATATACTAGTTTATTGCAGACATTACATTCCGGTTGAAATATCAACCAACATATTTTACAGTAAAATGCTTAATAAGAAAATATGTGACTATATTTAGACTATCTATTGCTATAGAAGTCAGGCAATCCGTTGCTCTTGTGATGTATTAACTTTATTATACTAATTCAGTTTGTATGCCGTGTGGATTCACAACCAATAAGTTGAATGTTAACAACAAACGCTAGTGTTACAATGGAATCACAAAATAGACAAACAGTTCGTTATTCGTGGAGTGTTCACTGATCACTTTGTTCACAATTAGCACTGAGGCACTACAGCCACGCCGTTTATTCCGAGCTGGAGCTCGAACTAGACGGCGTGTAGCTGTAGTAATCGTTCTGCTAGGCGGTATTTATCTGTTCCACATTCAAATGAGTAATGAAACGCAAACGCATCTGCAATGCCGGCCGCAGTTTGCGAATAACACTCTCCACTTCGTTCTTCATGGTGTCGCCGACGAACATATATTTTATGTGATAGCTGTAAAACTCATTAAGGAAAATATTTATGTAATGTCAGTTAAGATACCTACGTGGTTAGAGTGATGCGTAATAAGTTGTTTTTGTATTTAAATATAAGACATGCTAACAGGATAGTCAGTTATACCTATAAAATATACTTGCTTTTATTTCTTGAAAGTGTATAAGTGCCTATACAGCAACACAACCTTAATTTCTACTATTTATACAAAGCTGAAGTTTGTTTGTTTGACCGCGCTATTCCCCGGAACTACTGGTTCGATTAGAATAATTCTTTTTGCGTTTTGGGATTTATCGAGGAAAGTTATAGGCTACAAACATCACGCTATGACCCATAGGAGCCGAACAGAGCGGGTGAAACAGCGCGGAAGAAGCTATAAAAATAGAGGTATAATCTATACAGGTGAATAACTGTCATGAAAGAATCAATACCAGTGTGAAGCAGGAGGATATCCTTAAAACAAAATACAGTCGTTACTATAACGCAACAGGTAAGTTTCTGGAAAATGGATGTTTACAATTACCTGCATCTTTATAAATATGTAGTGAGTTGGGCCTCATGAAAGATTACCAACTGACAGGACACCCAGACTACATTTTTACCACTCTGCCTTTTAAATTGTCTCAAATTTAAAATTGTTATTGCTTGATTTTATTTTTAAATTCTTGTATGAGGGTCTGCAAATATTTTATGCATTCATGAAATCGTCAATTAGGTTACTTTGCAAGTTGAAAATGTTTACTGTAGATATAGAGTGAAAACAACTGATTATTAAAATGATGATGGTCCTCCCTGAATATAACACTACTATACAAGTTTTAAATACCTATTAAAACTTAGAACCTTACTAAACTACTCTAACTTTAAATGAAGAAAGATATTTTTCTACCAGCGAAAGTAATTACCAGAGGAAATTAGCCTAAAATACGGTTTTGAAAAGGATACAGTAAGTCGCATATAGGGTCAATGTACTGCAGATGTGGCTGGGACTTGTCGATGTGTGCCAGCAGCTCGTACAGTGTGATAGTGATGTCCATCACGGCTCGAGACAAGTCCGAGTTGAACCGCTGCAAGAACGGCCCCACCAAGTGACACAGGTACAGAAGCTGAATCTCAGTGTGCACTTCCACTGACAGCTTTTCTTTGATAAATCTGAAAACAGTTGAATTCAATATTATCAGAGCGAAAGTTAATACTATTTTTAAACAATTCGGTTTTTGAAAAGAAAATTAATTATAATAATATAAACTATCCCATAATTTTGATATATTATAATTCTCAAAATAAATCGATTTGGTAGTTGAAAAAAATAATAGTAAAAAAATACAATATACTCAATATACTTACTGCGGTACTTGCATAATCTGTCCAGCGCCTGCGTGGTACCAAATGGCATGAGCCAGTGCCAAAGTCAAGCTGTATTTGTTTTCCAACATGGCGTCATTGGTTGTAGTGAGATTGAAAAGTTGGAATGGTGTGAGATTGAAATGTTGGAATGGCCATTCCGTCATTTCATTATTTGTTATTAACTCCATTATACGATCATGAAGAACAGTCCAGTAGGGATCAGGTAACGCAGCCATTATCAGACCGATCGCATTGATCCAAAGTTGGATCTTAGTGGGTGGTATTACAACAAAACCTTTGGTGATGACGTCCAGGAGAGTGTTACCGACGAAATTCGGCGCTAGAGGCAGTGACATCAACTCCACACACGTCACGTACAACGCATGTGCTGAGGGGTTTGGATATTCATTGAATCGCCAATCTGTGTTGGGGAAGTGCGAGCTGCCAGTCATAGCTGTTATATTATTAAGGAAGATTAATTTTGATGTGCATTTTTTAAGTTAAGATTCGTTCCGATGAAGACTCTCGTTTTTTCTTTCATCGATTGGCACTAATGTAAGGTTTTGTTTGTACTGTAACTTCAAAACATTCAATAGCTCTTAGTATTTGTACTATTCATTAGGATCTTTTCTGGGACCTCATACGCAATTGTTGTCATTACGACGGGACCACAGTAGAACTGGTGTAAAGTTGATACTATAATACAAAATAACAGTCAATTTCAAGAAGAATATTATTTTATCAATTTTGTATAGATTCTACCTTCTACTACTACACGTAACTAAATTATTAACCCTTTAACCGCCAAGATTCTGAACTTTCAACTTACCTCCAGCGCCACGTCACTTTAGGTATAAGTTGGAACAGTGTTGGGAACACTTAATATCGATGCATATATTCTTTATTAATTAAAATCAATGTTTTATTTACCTACTTAATAAATAATCTAAAAATTGTCAATCTTCAAACGAAGTATACGAAAATGTGTATTCGGGAAATGGGCACAGCGTCGTCCGTTCTCCTGCTGGCGACGGTGACGATGCTCCACGAGCATGTCGTATTAAATTTAATAATTTCATGTAAACTTCTGAGCGGATTTCCGACAGTACGGTTTCCAGCTCAAAAGGTTTTAAAGATGCAAAGTATTCATTTCGTGGATCACTTGGTCTCTGATCAAAAACTTTTGCGTCACCATCTTCTAACTTTGCATAATGGACACATTTGGTTTTGACTGTGTTGATTTATTTGAGAAATAACAAAAACCCAAAAAAGGGCTTACAACACTAGTTGCATTGAGTGATAAATGTTTAACGTGATTTTACGGTGACGGCGCTAAGGCAACTCACAATACAGCGCTATAATCTCCTTGGCCGCACGTAATATTACGATGATGGCGACCGGCGATTGTCCGCACTAGTGCGGTTCTGCGTTATGAAATTTTTATATTATTGTTATAAATATTAAATAATTTTAAACTTAAATACATTTTAATTAGTACAAATACTTGCATCAAAGTAACACTATGGTTATTTTCTAATGAAAGTATACACTTTCATTGCAAATAGTGACAGTAATATCTATAGTGCCTTGTTTATTCTTAGACAACCTATTAAGTATTTTTCGAATTCGCCCCATCCCTAGTACTCGTAAAATTACGTGATTGGCGATACAGATAATGGAGACGGTGACCACAATTTAATTAAACCTCAAATTTCACAGTATTTATCACTCAAAACATTGAGAAATATCCATAACAATAAAGATTATACCCTACATCTTGAAATTGACACATTTTATATGGAGTTTGTGCACTATAAGAAGATTTTTAATAAAATAACGTGATTGTACGTATGTGGCGATTCGGACACAGCTTTCGAAAACCGTAATATTACGTTGTCGGCGGTTAAAGGGTTAAGATTGACGTGGGCTGTCCAATCAGTACAAGAAGTAAATTGCTAATTTTGTAAAAAGGATACTGTCTACCATTCTATTGACTAGACTAAGGTAGTAGTTGAGGTCTGGACCAGTCCAGGCGGTTGCTTCCACGTCGGTTTTGGCAAGATAGGCTTGGAATGCTTCAGTGGTGGCCCATCCAGCTGGCCGCACCTCTTTCAACGAGCCCAGTACAGCGTTCACCAATTTCCTTTTTAATAAAGGCTTGTCGCGAAGTTTCGACTCATAATAATGTAATGTGTTGTACAAGAACGTGATTGGGCGATCTGTTAACAGTACGAAATAGTAATTAGCAAAAATAGTTAATATTTTAGGAATAAAAATCTACCTACTGGAATATTTCTTCAGTCAAACTTTCGGTAAGTGGCTGGCGTATTATGTTATGTATACACAAATGTTCAAATGCAATTTAGATTGCAATTTCATGACAATCTTATAGCCTAAAAACCCCACTTATCCGCAACTGAAAGTTAACAATTTGATTTAATTTAAATTAAAATATCTTCTTTTTCTTACCTTACTGCAATAAAAATGTGATGATACTATGTTATTACTACAATTAACATGAGTACCAGTTATAGTGTAATGGTGGATAAAATACAACATAAACCACTCACCATGGAATTTATAGAGATATCCAAGATGTTCCAGCAGTTGTTCCAGATTCTTGCTAACGGATGGTATCTCCAGGTGTCGGTGCACCACAATGTCTAGAACGGGTATAAACCTAAGGCACACGTTACTCAGGTACACAGGAATTGGGCCTCCGTAGGCGTTGCTTGCCTCCTCCGGTGCGAACTTTTCTGGGTATTTTCTATGAAATGCTAAATGTTTATCATACCTGTAATTACAGACACAGATTATATTATCCTTCTATAAGATTCCTTATCCTGCTGTAAGGCTAGGTAGAGGTATCGACATGTTTATAATTCATTATTAGAGACAAGCTATGAGTGCTCAACAATATTGATTAGATTGACAGCAGTCGATTACACTTCTCGTCCCTCTGAAAGGGACCATTGGATAATTGTTACTGTTAAACTGTTCAAATAAGAGTATTTCGAAGGTCGAGGAGTGTCATGATAGCCTAATGTCCATAAAAACAAACAATGTTTTTAGTATTACCAATTATTTTGCTTCCAATGTTCCGGTGAGTTTTCTTTTACAAAGTCCTGAGCTCGATTCCTTAACTCAGAGCCTTTCAGCAGTAGTAGCTGGATGATGTAGAGGCAGACTTGGCTCTCATTGCCGTCCGGGTTGGGGCGTAGTACCTATGGAGAAATCGACCAATCAATCAATCGTCGGCCCACCAAATATAAGTGTCAGGCACCCGACTTTGCCAAGGAATAGGTCTATTTACTGTTTCTGGGTATACAAGTAGACTGAAGTATTTCTATTTAGAAAAATGAAAAAAACTTACATTAAAAATTTTCAAGGCTAGCTCTTCGTGCTCTTAAAATATATATCCAACTATGGTACATTGGTACACCATGGCTCGCAAAATAAGATTTTACTCGAAGAGTCGATTCAAATGTAAAGTTGTGTAATAATATTAATAAGATAATTTTAATTATAACTTACCAAGCACAAAACAAGTCTATCAATAGTAACGATGTTGTACTTCCAGATGATGTCGTTGATCGCGTCGACGCACTTGTTGATGTGCGGCCCGCCGGCCGGGTTGGTCACCTCAAACACGAGGTAGTCGCAGAACTTACGCAAGTGCGCCGACAACGCCCGGGCACCGATGCGTTCTAAGATCCTGGAATAAACAGATATAACAAATGCTTAATCTATATAATAAACTAATATAGAAAGCTGAAGAGTTTGTTTGTTTGAACGTGTTAAGCTGCAGAAGTCCTGGTTCGAATTGAATAATTATTAATTATAATAATTTTACATTGAATAGGAGCCGTGGAGAGGGTGTCACCGTGCGGGACCGGGACACCGGGAGTAGTAATAACATAAATGCGAAAGTGTTTGATCATTTGTTTATCTCTCGCTGCAGAGCAATTTCATGGTTGATTTTTATGTTTGAGAGTAAGCAAGCTGGAGAGTGATAGAGTTTATGTTTGACTGTTCAATCATGTCAAAATTCAACCGTGTTGTTTAAGAAAAGTTCTACACCTTTTTCGCTAGATTCGGTAAGTATTCAGCAATCTATTATATAATTAATATTACTAATAAACATTCGCGATGATTTCACTTTGCTTAGATAGATTTAGGGCCAACAATAGCAATTGAAAATATATTCAATTCGCAAGGAGTACCTATCATTCGATTGCACTACTAATGAACGTTGGTTCCAGTGCCGGATTAGCCACGTAGCAAGAGTAGCAAATGCTACGGGCCCCGCGGATTGGAGGGCCCCGCGCTCAAATAGGTATTTCGTAATTACACCACTTCAACAGCAAGACTTATGAAGAAAATGTTTTGTTTACAAAACTACTACCAACCTACATGTAATTTGATTTTTTTTCTTAACGAAATTAACGAAAAAAGACAAATAGTCGGTATTTTGTATGTGTAAGAAAAGGAAAGTGACTATTTGTTCGCTTGGTTGGTGCCATTGGCGGGCGAACCGAGCCCGATTTGAACGAATCAAAAATGAATTAATTAAGGAACACTATGGGCCAAGGACGTCTTAATCATTTCACAATGTTGAATATAGAGCATGACTTGCTTAAAGAAGTCGATATTGAAAGTGTAATCGCTAAATTTGCCCATAACAAATCCAGAAAAGTTTATTTGTAACAGTTTTGTTTTATGTAATAATACCCTAAATGACAATGACCAAATTTGTATGGAGCGTGGTGCCTTTTTATTTTTCGCGGCAGTTTATTGGATGTGTAAAAACTGATGCAGAATAACATTACAAACAAAAAAATATATGGGGTCTTATATCAAAAACACAGTCCAAACCGAGTTAAATCAGTTCAAAGATGTGAAAATAGTGCTATATTATTCCTGTTATTTTGTTGATGGTGACCGTACACAACGCATATTTCTTCATTTACTTGTCAGAAATATTTTGTAATAAATGTTTATAAACGATTTCAAGGAATATAGTAAAGCTTATAGTGGACTTCTTTTTA